TGCCCGCCCAGGGAGCCGCGACACTGCCAAGCGCCTCTCCTGCCCACTGGGCTTAGGCGCCCAGCCCAAGGGCACCTACTTCCATCAGTCCCACAACAACATTGCGCAGCTGGCCACAGACTTCAACCGCTTCACGGCCCTCATGAACAGCCGGAGCCGCCAGCCCATTATCTGCAATGATGTTATTGGCTACATTTAGCCCTGCCTGGCACTGCCCACACCCACTTTCACCACTGTAAATAAACCTCATTTTTGTATGGTACAGCCGCAGCGCCCTTTGTGGGGGTCAAGGGCTCCTCTGCAGCGCAGCAGGGCTCTCAGCACCCTAGCTGCCAGGCTCCGCAGCTCAGGCTCCCAACAGGAGGAGGGATGGGGGTGACTGGGCTTACTGGGTGCCCTGGTGGTGCAGATCTGTGTAACAGCATGAGGGTGTTTGTGGTGAGGGCTGATGCAGTGACCATGTACCGGAGCTAATCCTGCAGCTTTTATTACTGGGGGCACCCAGCACCATGTGGCCCCAAAGGGCAGCCAGGGCCTGCTCCCTCTGGTGTCCCATTCCAGGCTCAGGGTAGGTAGCAGAGGAGCCGGGGGCAGGTGTCCTCATCCTGATCCTCTTCTCCCTCACACACATACTGCAGCTCCAGCTCCCGAGGCCGTGGCTCTCCAGCACCCTCCAGGCTCTCCGACAGCCTAGAGTGGGGGAAGGAAAAAAGGACTGAGGTGGGGGCAGGCTGTTTCCCCCAGCCTGGCCAGTCCCTCCAGGATGGGGAAGGCCACATTTGGCTGGCTCCTGCAAGGAGAGGTTTCAAGGAGCTCCCCCAACACCCTTGGCAGGCACCCATGAGTGAAGCTGTGGCCCTGCAGGCTCCCTCCTTGCTCAGGGCAGGGAAGCAGTGCCTGCTGGGCCAGGCTAGGAGGCAGCGAGGGGGCCAGGCAGGGGGCCTGGCCCGGGAAGCCATGTTTACCCTGTGGCAGGCTGGAGCAACAGACCCGTCTGCGAACAGCTCTACAGCTGGAGCAGCTCATCACAGAGGGCGAGAGGAGGCAGACATCTCCCCCAATGCCCAGTGGGGAGGCGAAGGATTATGCCACAGGAGTGGGCAAGGAGCCAGGGACCTACCTCTGTGCCTGCTGCTGGGCCCGTGTCTCCTCATCCTGCTCCTTGTTGTAGAGCACGGTGTAGCCGTGCAGAAGCATGACTACAGCCAGCCCGTGCACCTTCTGCAAGAGCTGGCAGTCAGGACCCTGGGCCTGCATGTAGCCACCCCCCCCACCCCTAGGGCTGGTGTGCTGGGCTGCCCAACCCAGCAGCTCTGCGCTGCCTGCACTGGGCTCACCTGCAGCCAGTCCAGGAGCTCCTGCACGGTCATCTCCTGCCCATTGGCACCGATCCCCTGCACCTCCAGCCGGTCCCAGCAGCTCCACTCCTTCTGGCCAAACTGCAAAGGGAGAGCCCAGGGTGGCAGCAGGCCCACAGGGAGGGAAGGACTTGCATGGCACATGGCCTGGGGTGAGGAAAGGCACAGGAAGGAAGCAGAGCCAA